GTTGCTCTTTACCCCCAAAATTTTCTTTGTTCAAAAAGGACTCAATCGAAACACATGTTAATTAATATCTTTCTCGTTTAATTTTAGTAATTTTAATTTAATTTTTTAATATTTTTTCAAATATAAATTTTAGATAAAATCTTAAATGAATCATCTAAAATTCATGGTTGAAAAAAATTTTCCCTGAGTTGATTCCCCTCTTCCCATCTCCTTAACTTTCAATATCAAGCTTTGACTCAATTTTTGCATACATAATGTTATTTATTCCTACCGAGTACAAAAATTCCCACAATCTCAGGAGTTTACCATATAAGATTAATTTTCACAGGATATGATTCCTTGGGTTGAAAGATTAAGATTCATTGCTTTCTTCAACTTCCAGCTTAAGGAAACAAAATATGCCAGATGAAGCTAATCTCGTTGTAATCACTTGCGCCGAAGTCTTTTACTTGCAAGAAGTTGTTTCTTGGACGGACTGCTTTTCTTTTTCTATGTAATATCAGGTCTCATCCTAAGTGAAAGTGACTATTAGCTAATCAAATTTCTTATCCACATCAGACTTAGATGTCACTGCTTTGTACTGTATGTACATAAGTTGGGGTATTGACCAACTCCACCCCCAACATTTAACCCGTCTTCCGGAGTTGGTCTGCTCCAATAATAAATTTACTTTAATTTTCAGACGAAGAGAATCAAGTTGACCCCCTTTTTTTTTTTTCCTTTTTGTTTTCTAAATAGAAAAATTCAACTCTTATAGCTGTTATTTTGAATTGAAAAATAGACGAAAAAAAAAAAAATCAAACTATGTTTTAGAGGTTGAATTGCTGCAATACTTAAAACATAATGGACCATGATAAAATCTATAGATTAGGAACTGATTACCGGCCATTTTACTTTAAAATGGATTAGCAGTCAATGAGAGTTGGAGAAATGGAATAACTGCTCCCTTTTACAATCAAACCTTAATACCCAACTTAAAGTTAAGGTAGGTTGTAATAGATAAATAAGAAAGTCCAGCATCTTCTTCTTGTTTTTTTTTACAGTTAGGTGGGATTCTTCTGGTTGGATGCTGGAATTTCCCTGTTATATAAGACAAGATTTTATTATTCATTACAGGTTACCAGTTTCACTCTGCACGCTTGTTGATAATAACTGGTCTATTAATATTTAGATTAATTTGCGGAAATAAGACACCGATAAATGTTAGTTTAATTTGTACAGGTTGAATACATTCACAGAGAAAATGCCTTCATCAACAGTTAAGAAAAGAAGAGAAATGAAAAATCACTTTTAATTAATTGACCAATACATTCAGGAGTACTGTTACACTGATGTTTCTATACCAGATTTTAACTATGCTGGTAGATTTTAGTTTTAACAAGAAAATCTACAGGCATAGTTAAGATTCAGAAATGAAATGAAAAGAAAAGAAAAGAAAAGAAAAAAGTATCATGAAGCAAGATTAGGAGCTACAAATTCGAACCCTTGATTGAGAAGAGCTCCAGTCATCCATCGCTTCAAATTTGACAAGGTAATGGCCTGCTCGGAGTCTTTGACCTGCTTTTGAAAGTAAAACAATATATCATTTATAGAAGAAGGGAGAAATGAAAGAATCATTATATAAAAATGGAAAAAAATAGGAAGATTGCTTACGTTAAGAGTAAATGTTAATACAAATGTATCAGAAACAGTAGCTAAATTTGAATTTTGAACTTTGAAGTTGGTAAGAGACTCCACAGATTTATAGAGCGACACTGCCACTCCTTCTCCTCTGTTGCAGACCAGTTTAATGTAAAACCCTCTTTCTTCGACTTGAAAAACATCCATCTGGAAAAACCCAAATCCAAAAATGTAAGAATCAAAACATGTTAAGGTCACAGAAACAGAGAAAACAGAGGAAACAGGGGACAAACAGGGGATTGCCAAAAGACCGAAACAGGGGACATATGGAGGATTATTGCTGTCGGAACAAACCTGCATGATCTTTTTGCAAACTGGCTGTCTGTTCTTAGCAAACTGTATGTTCTTAGGAGGGGTATCCATCGATTCTTGATATCTTTCTGAGACAGCCAGAGATGCTTCTAGACCTGCGATCTCGGCTTTTAGCTTCCTCGCTTGCATTTGCAGGTCTTGCACATACAGAACAGCGTCTCCAATGATAGAGGCCTTGTCCATCTGCATACGGCATGGAGATTGCATGTTATACAAGCAGCTGAAACTTGAATGGAATAAATTTTCATTTTGGACTCCCAAAGATATGTGTATTACACAACACATACCTTGGTTATATTAGGAACCACAGATCTCAATGCATAGAGCTTCTCCTTCATCCTCCCCCTCCTCCTCCTCTCCGAGATGAGAGTCTTGGTGCGATCAACCTTCTTCTTCTTGGTTTCCGCTGTGGTTGTGGTAGTTGTCCCAGAAGACTCCTCATCATCATCATCATCATCATCTTCCTCCTCTTCATTCATTTCCCCATTAAAACTTGGCATTGTACTGAAAATGCAATTAGTATCAGGCACCATACTTCCTCCGGAAGCATTAAAATCAAACACATCCCCGGGTATAGGCGAGGCAATCTGCTTATCAACAAAACATCCAATGTTATTGATAAGCCCAAAATTGGAACAAGCATAAGAATTCTCATTCTCCCCTCGAATCAACTCAACGAATTGATTGAAGTTAGGGTCCTCAATGAAATCGTGCATCTCAAACTCGTTTGAAAGAACAAGAGAGCTCGCACTTAATGCATAAGCATCCATGGTCGGATTTGGTTTTCTCTTGAATGTTTCAGTGGCTTGCACTCTGAAAGTGGTCCAGTTGCTACACCTTATAATATATGTAGAATTCTCACAGTGCCTAGGTAATTTTTTTTTTTTTGATTCGGTACATGAATCTAATGAGCATTAGGTGAATTATTTTTTTATTTTATGCTACAAGCATAGTTGGAGTTGACAAACAAAATAAAATATTACAAGATGAAAACATTAGAAAAATATTCGGAATCGAGAGAATCCACAGTCAATAGTCTAAAGTTTGAATGCCAGGACTCACAATCTTTGGTATCCATTCTTTCCTTTCTAATAATTTAATTATTGTTTTCTACATTTCATGAGGCTTTACTAAAAGACATTCTCTAAAAGACAAACAGAAATGACATATTCGATGATGTTAGAATAAAATCATTTGTAAATTAATGAGATTATTGTGGCAAATTGGCATCTTTGACATTAAAAAAAAAGGTAATTAAATTAGTGCTTAAGTGAATTTTCTATAAAAATATTTAAGCAAATAATTTTAGAATCAGAAATAGGTCATATCAATTGTAGTTTACCCTCATTAACACGTAAAAGAAACTTTAAAAAAAAAGGGTAAAAGTAAGATGTTGCCAAAATATGTGTAAGTTTGTCTAATTTGAGAATGGAATTTATAATATTTTAGTTTCCAACTTGGCTGCAATTCCATGATTAAATTATTGATCTGTTAATATGCGAAGATGCATTGCATGAGAGCTTAATCATGACTTGTGAGTGGGAATTGTTTAAGGTATGTCCCAGATAAAAACATAATGTAGTAAATTACCTTGGACATTCAGGCCGCATAGCCAACAGCAGCCTGACCTTATGCAATTTTGTTTCCCATTTTTTGTTTGTGAATAGTCGTAATCAAATGATTGCTGTCAATCTAGTTCAACAGTTGTTAAATTTTTTAGTGAAATCGGGAACAGTTCTGACTTTTTGTAGTTTTTTAGCTATATATGTAGTTCATTGAACTGAACAATTTCCAATGAGTTCCTCGTATGAGAATCTCTTTTTTTCAGTTAGAATTGTATTAAATGATAAAATAAAAATTATTATATAAAAAATAACCTATAATATTAGAGGTTAATCTTTTATACATCTAGTTGTATAGCATAAGCTATACAACATTTTTTTATTTTCTCATATTTGGGTTTCACTTCCATCTTTCATTTCATCTAGTAAAAATAGTTGGGGTTATTGCTACACTAACAAGTGTTTGGACTATTTTACCTATTTCAATAATAACATCTAAAAAAATATTTTCCATTTTTAGTATTAAATTTATCATGTAAAGGGTTTATTTATTTATTTATTTTTTTAGGTTTGAAAAATAAAAAGTACATAGTTTTTAAGAGGATATTATTGTAATAGGTAAAATTGTTCAAACAAGAGTTAAGGGTGTAACATTAACACTTTAAGGTTTAGTAATAGTGACACCTAGTAAAAATACCTTTTTATTGTTATGAGTTTGAATAGATTTGACTTATTACCCAATAATTATTCGTTTCCATCTCAAAATAACTATAGATTTTTTTTTTTATTTTTTCACATGTTAAAGAATGTAGAGACAAGTTCTTTGTCTACATATATTAACCTTATAAAGGTACTAATATAAGAAAAATTTTGATAATCAGGTTGATAATTGAAATTATATATAAGAATAGAGTTAAAATATATATAAATATAATATTTGTCTTTTAAAAAATTAATTAATTTTAAAACAAAATTTAAAATATATAATGACAGTTATTTTAAAATAGAAAGGACAAGAATTAATCCTAAAACTTGAGCTTAATTAGTTCTATTGAATTCATAAGAACCAAATCTTTTTGAGGTTAATTAATGGTTTGTACTCATCATTAAAGTTTAATCTAGTTCACATTCACCAATTCTAATTCGTTGACTATAGTATGTACTATGTAAATAATGTTAAGAGTTCATTTAAAAAAAAAAATTTATGCATTGGATGTCACCCAACTTAAGCTTGAAACTTTTAATTTTCCTTTTTTATGAATAGGACTTTAGACTCTTAAAAAAGAAGTGCAACTAGTGATTTCTTTCTAGGTTAACGTCATTTAGAGTAAAATAAATTTTAAGATATACAAAGTTAAAATTTTAAAGTAAAATAAAATCTCTATTGGTCCTTTAATCATTTAACTTTTAACGTGAGCAACGTCACACTGGGGTGTGGCTGACATATGTTAGCACCAAAACTATTCATCAAGAATTAATAGAATATAAACGCCCTAACTTAATTAACTAAAAATGTCATTATCAATCCTCCGCGGCCAGTTCATCATCTCCCTTAATTTTGATTTGTTTATTTTAATAAAGTTAATCATGTGTTGATGACGCAATTTCAGGGACCCCTGGAATAGCCACGCTTGAGGCAGTGTCACCCTCTAAATGAAGGACAATTTCCTGTTTGTTTGGGATGTGAATGTGGAAATCCCGTTTTCTTCAGCAGATTTCCGCCTTCCTTTTGTGTTTTTAAAAAATTTAGAAGATGAGGAACACATGGGTGCATGTGCCATCCATCTTCCAACTACAAAAATGTGTAAATTAAGAATACTCGGGCGCCAAGGTCTTTCCCCACCGAAAATAGTTCATGAACATTTTTTGTATAAAATCTTTTTAGGTTTGAATATAAATGTTATATTGAAATTTATATACTTGGTTTTTATATGTTATTATAATTTAGGTTTCATTCTTAATAAACCTATTATTAATTTAGCAGATAATACTCCAAATTCATGTTGAGTTTGTAAGTGGGGAGACATATTAAATTATGTAACAAAATCTTATATTTATACTCATTTCGCATATTAGAAGATATGTTGAGTGGATTAAATATAAAGAGAATTATTTTACTTTAATTTTAAATTATATGTAAATTTTGAATTAAAGTTTTTACATATTTAATTTTTCATATATAAATTTTTTATTTTATTAAAATTTATAATATTATTATGTATATTCATCCATCTAATAACACATAAAAACTAAAAAATAAAAATTATATGAATATGTTATTTGCTTTAATTATACTTTACCTAATTTAAACAATTTTTAATGCTGATTGGGCATCCACGTTGGTTAAGTGTGACCACGTGGGATGTTGGAAATAGGGTGTGATGTTATTAGGATAACTTTTTTGTTTCATCTTTTTTGTACAATTTTCATATGTCATTAAATGAGTGAATGCATTTAATATTATGAGTCTCATATAAATTAAAAAAATTAATCATTTTAATGACACGTTTGCACAAAAAAATAAAACAAAATAATTATCCTAATACCATTTTCTTTAAAAATATCTAAGTGCCACGTCGGAGGCTGTAAATATCTATCTTAAGGTTGAGCTTACGTTTAATGACACATGCATTACGTACCTGTGTATGTACTTATTATTATTATTTTTTTTTTTGCCAAGTAATTGTATATGTAGTTTGGTATGTGCTTACTACGCGGATGCGGGTAAATGTATGTGTAGTTTTCTATGTTACTTTTGTTGTTATGTATGACTCCTCTCGATGTCTCCAGTTTGTTGTTTTATGACCGTATTGAAACTGATGTTTCATTTTTTTATTTTTTAGTTTTTGTTCTCCAAGTAATTGTATTTGCAGTTTC